GCGCACCTGCTGGTGGAGGCCCAGGCGCAGGGTGAGGCCCCCGCGGTGCCGCTCGTCCCCGTGCTCGGCCCCCAGCAGGTGCTTGTTGAAGTGCGGCAGGGGCAGGCCGGGCCTGAAGTCGGGGCTCAGCATGCTGACGGGCGCCAGGAGGATGGAGGCGTTGGTCACCGGGCCTGCGGGGCGCACGCCGTCAACGGGGCTTAGGCCCGCGCAAGGCCTGAGCCCCGCCCTAGCCCCGCCGCCTGGCTGCTCCAGCTCCCCCCGCCGGCGCCCACCTTTGAGCGTCACGGTGCGGACGCACTGCCTGCTCTGGATGTCCCACAGCCGCACCGTCTCGTCGTGGGAGCCCGAGAGCAGCACGGTGCCGTCCGTGGACACTGACAGACACGTCACCTGGTTCCTGCAGACGGGCGGGAAGGGCCCCAATGACCCGGGCCGGAGGGAGGCGCAGCCCGCTCGCCCGCCCGCCCGCCCCGGTCCCGACCTGTGGCCTTTGAAGACCTTGCCGCAGTCCTGGTCCGGGTGGAAGCTCTTCTCCCTCTGTCCGGGCTGTGGGTCGAGGGGCCGTGAGCAGCAAGCTGGCGCACCCAGCCCGGTCCCGGAGCACGGGGCGGGAGCCCAGCGTCCCCACCTACTCACCCAGCTGCAGAGGTCCACCTGGAAGATGGAGCCGTCGCTGCCGCCGCAGAACATGTGATGCTCAGCCAGGTCCATGGTCACGGCCATGACGCTCACGTCAAACAGCACGGAGAGCAGCAGCTCCCCCGAGGAGATCTCCCACAGCTAGGAGCAGGGTGCTCTCAGGGACTGGGGTCCCAGGGCTGCTCCTGACTGGGACGTCCCGGGCCCCTCTCCTCCCAACATGGAACTGGGTGTCGAGCTGGAGACCCTGCCCACACTGGCTTCAGTTGGCGCCGGCTTTGGGTTCCGCCGCCCTCGCCCCAGGCCCCGGCAAAGGCCCAGTGAAGGCCGAACACGCTCACGGCCGGCCAGAGGGTTGCCCGAGACACGCTGCCAGCACAGCCTGCAGACCGGGGGAGGAGGGCTGTCCTACCTTCACAGTCTGGTCCAGAGAGGCCGTGGCTACCCGGGCCAGAGGCCCCCCGAAGCCGCAGTGTAGGTCGGTGATGGGGAGGGTGTGGCGAGACCAGATGTGCCGGGGAACAGGGGTCCTGGAGGGGTCCACCTGCAGCACACTGTGTGGGGGAGACGCATGCCCCAGACGCTTGCGCTAACCCCCAGGCCCCTCCCGCCCTCAGCCTGGGCCTGGGCTGGGCAAGGCCTCACCTGCAAAGGTCCCACACCAGCACCAGGCAGTCCTTGCCCCCCGACAGGAGGTGGCTGCTGTCCCCTGTGAACCGCAGGCATGAGACATCCTGGTAGTGGCGGCTCAGGATGACCAGGAGGTTCCCCGTGCAGACCTGGCAGCAGAGGGCGTGCCGGTCAGCCGCGCCAGCCACCTGGGAGCCCGTGCCGCCCTCTGCCCCATCCCCATCCAGAGCCCGTGCCAGTCCCATCTGCGGGCCCCGCTGGTGCCGGGGAGGGGCTGCTGAGGGCGCCCCTAAAAGCAGGTCACAAATGGAGCCGTTTTCCAGGCTGGCGTGAGAGGTTCAAGCGCACTGGGCCTGCGTCTGACAGGAGGGCTGGGAGAGGCCAGAGGCAGCAGGTGGAGAGGCACCCGGCGACGGGAGAAGCAAGCTCGTGGCGAGACCCCGCGGCCCGTGAGAAGGCGGCGGGGAGACACAGCTCACAGTGCTGCTGCAGTCTGCCCCGCCCGGGCCTCCAAGTCGGGGTCCTGCAGACGCACAGCTGGCCCGTGAGCACGCGGGGATGCTGACTCCCCCGGCGAGAGTCCGAGGTTTTGGTTCTCCACAAATTCAACTGTAGTTGTTTCCTGGGACCCACAGGGGCTTGACTTCAGGAACCCTTCTCTCCTCCTAACACCTGAGGGTTCACGACTGTCAGAGTCGGCCCGCTACACCCACGGTTTCAAGTCTGGTGCTTCACCCACCTGAGGTTGCTGAACCTGTGACTGCAAAGCCCAGAGACAGGAAAAAGCCACACACAAGTGAACCTGCAGTGCAAGCTTGTGCAGCTCAAGGCTGAACTACAGTCAGTGCAGATGCGGCCACACTGGCGTGGGCAACCTGACACAGCGACTGCGGGAAATCTGACACCCCACGGGAAGAGGCAGAGCTGGGTGACCCGCAATCCTGCAGCCCGCAGCAGCTGGACGAGCCAGGAACGTCCTGCTGGCGCCTCTGCGGGGAGCAGGCCAGCACACTTTGACCTTGCTTTCTACTTCCCCAGAGCGGGAGAGGACGTTCCTGCTGCTGGGCCACCCGGCTTGTGCTTTGCGACCTCAGCTACGGGAACTCACTGGCGCCTTCTGAGCACCGGGGCTGAGCAGGTCACAAAACGCTCAGGCCTGAGTTTCTCTTGCGCAGCCAAGTGACAGCTGTTTTGAGAGTTGAGAGCTGGCACGGGAAGAGGCCGCGTGCGGCGGTCCTCAGGCTGCAGGGTGAGAGCAGAGGCTGGGCTCCTTGTGCCCCACAGCCGGCCTGCCCTAGGGATGTCCACCCACCCCTCCCAGAAAGAGGGAGCATCCGCGGGGTCCCGCCCCCACCTAGGTGGCCACACGAGAACGCCCTCCCTAAAGAGCAGCAACCAACCAACCGAGATGCCCCCCGAAGTATGCTAATAGCAACCCTGACAGCAACCTGTGAGAAGCGCCTCCCTGTCTCAGTTTCCCTCTCTGCACCTGCGGTACTGTTTCCTATTCTCAAACCGTAGCATGACTAAAATTTAAATGCTCCAGAAGGAAGACAATGAAGCCCCTCACATCCGTCCTCACGTGCCCACGTCACCTCTCTGTGAGAGGTGCAGCGGCTGCTCAGCAGGTATAGAGAGTCAGTTAGGCCGTCTTCTAGCCCCAGAAGCTGCGGTGTGTTTGGGGACGCAAGAGGTCTCTCAGCAAAACCCGACAGCCCCACATGACCTACCCGGCAGCCTAGACGCAGACCCATCACACCTGACTCGGATTCTCACCTCCCACAGATAGATACTTTCTGCGATCCCGGCCACGACGTAGAGGCCATTCGGTGATGTGGTCAGACAGGTAACAGGTCCTGGACACATAATCTTCTGCTGGAGCTGATCCTGGAGGAACACAAGAAGCCTCTGAGCCACCTGCAGAATTCGGGGCAGCAAACTGCGGGAAAGGAAGCCAGGAGGGTGGAGGGGCCAGGCGATGAATGGAAACCGCCAGAGAGGAGAGGGCCAGGGCGGTTTGCGTGAAGCAGGGTTTTCAGCAGCCTGTTGAGGTGCTGCGAGGTGGAGGTGGAAGCCTCAGGGTTCCCCAATAAAAGCAGGCGTGTGCTTTGTCTGGGTAGAGGGCGAGAGGGTTCCTCTGAGGTGCGGGGTGGAGGGAGGCCAGGCCCAGGGTCAGTTTGTGCCCCAATTCTGCCTCCCCCGACCAACCGCCAGTACTTGAACCTGTTTCCAAATCTCTAAACGGGAAACCTGATGAGGGGCTGTGAGGGCAGAGGGCACCCCCGGCGATGGGAGCCTTCAGGAAGGGGCCACATTTGGGACTGCTTTTAGAGAAACCATCGCCCACTGGGGAGACATCGTCTCTTCTTTGCGGTGTGAGTGGGGTGAACTCACGAGTCACCCCGTCTACCCTTCACGGGGTTTCCCCAGACCGTGGACCTCCACCCCCCAAGACCACACGACCCAAAGGAACCCAACAAGCGGCTCTCCCTTTAATTAAATTTCGCGCCTGCTCACACGGAGTAGCCCAGGGGCCCCACTTTCCCAGCCTGTGCGCGCCCCGCACCCCAGGTTTGCTAAGGTCTGCGGCTCATCC